ATCGTTTTCTCGTTTTCTCGGCCCCTGGGTCTTGGTCTCGTTTGCTAGGACCGATATTAGCGTTTTCTCGGCCCGGGTCTTGGTCTCGTTTGCTCGGGCCTTGGTTAGTTTTCTCGTTGTCTCGGCCTCTGGGTCGTTATTTCGTTTTCTCGGACCCGGGTTCATTGTCTCGTTTTCTTATTTTCTCGGCTTCTGGGTTTTTGATTCGTTTTCTCGGGCCCTGGTTCGTTTTCTCGTTTTCTCGTGTTCTCGACCCTTGGGTTGTGTTCTCGCTTTCTCGGGCCCTGGTTCGTTTTCTCGTTGTCTCGTTTTCTCTGCCCCTGGGTCGTGGTTTCGTTTTCTCGGGCACTGGTTTGTTTTCTCGTTGTCTCGTTTTGTCGGACTCTGGTTCGTTTTCGCGTTTTCTCTGCCCCTGGGTCGTGCCCTCGTTTTCTCGGGCCCCGGTTCGTTTTTTTTTTTTGGACCCAGGTTCGTTTTCTCGTTTTGTCGGCCCCTGGGCCGTGATCTCGTTTTCTCTGACCCTGCTTCGTTTCCCCGTTTTCTCAGCCCCTGGGTCGTGGTCTCGTTTTCTCTGACCCTGGGTCGTCGTCGTCGTCGGTCGTCGGTCGCGCGTCGTCCGTCGTCCGTCGCCTTCTTCGCATGACCTCGTCCTCGTCGTGACGACCACGACGAGGTCATGCGACAATGGCGACAATGACGGCGACGGCGGCGACAACGACAACGAGGTCGACGACGGCGTCGTACGAAGACGTCGAGCGACGGCGACGGCAACGACGACGGCGACGGGAGAGGATCGTCCGGCAGGGGGAGTTCAAAGGATGGGGGTGGTAGCTAAGCCGCCCTTTCCCTTTTGGAAAGGGGGGAGGGGAGGGTAGCTTCCGGCAGAGGGGGAGAAAAATGGAGGGAAGGGGGGAGGGGCTTCCCGCGGAGGGGGTTCAAAGGAGGGTGGGGGTAGCTAAGCACCCCTCCCTTTGTTAAGGGGGGGAGGGGGGGGGTAGATTCCCGGGTGCCCAAAGGGCGGGGGGGTGCTAGCACCCCCCCCTGGAACTAAAGGGGGGGGGGGGGGGGGAGGGGGGGGTAGCTTCTGGCAGACAGAGGGGGGGTCAAGGGAGGGGGGGGGGTGGGTAATTAAGCCCCCCTCCCTTTCGTTAAGGGGAGGGGGGAGGGGTGGGGTAGCTTCCGAGGTGCCAAAAGGGGGGAGGGGGTGGGGGGCTGCCTAAGCACCCCCCGGAACGAAACAAAGGGGGGAAGGGGGGGGTGGCTTCGGAGAGGGGGGTCAAGGAGAGGGGGGGAGGGGGGGGGGGCTAAGACCTCCTCTTTTGGAAAGGGGGGAGGGGGGGGTAGCTTCGGAGTGGCGAAAGGGGGGGGAGGGGGGGTAGCTTCAGGGGGGGAGGCGAAAAATGGGGGGAGGGGGGGGAGCTTCCAGCAGGGGAGGTGGAAGGGAGAGGGGGGTAGCTAAGGGGACCCCCCCCCTTTTCTCCGGCGCTGTGGGCGCGCTCTGTTCTCGGATCCTCTGCTCTTCTTCTTCCTCGTCCTCATCCCCTTCCTCGTCCTCTTCCTCTGCCTCCTCCTCCTGCTCTTCCTCCTCCTTCTCGTCGTTGCTCTCCATCTCCTCCCTCTCAATCGCGTCCTTGTGTCCGTGTTCGTTATCATCCTCCTCTTCCTGTGGATGCACCTGTCCCTCCTCTTCCACCGCCTCAATATTTTCCTCCTCCTCATCCTTCCCGCCCCAGTGTATTCCAGGCACCCGACCTCGCCTGGCGCCGTTCCCATTTCCAAGAAGGGCCAAGAGAATCCCGACCGCATCGGCCGCGATTTCCACCCTGGCTATCGCGAGCCGCCGCGGGCTGTGAGGAGGCACAAAGCCCTCCGCGCACACGCACACATACACCCCTGTTGGCCTTCAAAGAGCATCGCCGCGGAACTGTGGATCTCATGACGCTCCTTGTGACGCCCCTCTGTTTCGCACCTTCCCTCGGAGCCGCCCGGGCCGTTTGGGGAGCTGCCCAGAGCTCGCACGGAACCCGCTCCGAGGCCTGGAGCATGCACGTGCGAGAGTCCCGAGGCCTACCGGCAGCCACGCGCTCCCCGAAGTAAGCGCTGTCTGGGGCGCCTTTTGAGGGCGTCACCGAAAGTGTCCAGACCAGAGGCTGCAACCCGGACGTCGAGACTCGTATCGCGCGCAAAGCTCCCGCGCGCGAGCGCGAAAAGCGCGCTAACGCTGAGTTTACCGTGGAGCTGCTAGCTCCCAGTCGCGCGCCACCGCCGCTTCCCCGGGCCTTGGTCGGTCCCTTCCCTCGCGGAGCTTGTGAGATGTCCAGGGCCCTGCCTGGTCGGTTCCAATCGCCCCCGTGGTCTCCAGCGACGTGTCGAGCCTTCCTGCACGCCTTGCCAACTGCAGACAATTCATTTGAAAGATGTGCGTTTCGAAGCTGGCCGCTGAAGTGGAGTACCCCTTCCAAGACAAGCCCTGCCTCTGCGGGTCGAGACCACGTACGGAATCCGTTTTTCTTTTTTTTTGTTTTGCTTGAAAGACTTCGGGCGGAAGTAAGCACGACTTCAGTGAGTACCCTTGCGTCAGTCATGGAACTTGTCGTCATGTCAATGATACGTAGCATGTGCGCACCGCCCACTTAGCAGTTATTACAGGAGTAATGCTAGCACGGCATTTCGAGAGGGCACCGGTATAGGAGAGCCCGGAAAGGGCACCGTACCGGTGGGAATGTGCCACTGCCATTCCCTCGCGAGGGCGTGCCGGTGCGAATTTTCCGAGTCCGTCTAAGGGCTTGAATTTGAATGCCGTAAAGGGATACGCGCTCTCGAATTTAAGCGCCGTGAACAGCGGGGTTGGGGCGGGGGGGAGGAGGAAGATGAGATGAGGTGGATGAAGGATAATATGGTGATGATGCATGCAGATGAGGAGGGAGAGTCATTACCCAGCTTTCTTGCTATGTGCCGTAGTTACGCGGCCATTACCCAGCTGTAGTTGAAAGTCTTATTTTTGGGATTCGTAGATTCCTATCTAATTTATAGGCGCCTTCATATTTCAAGTGTCGAATGAATTTGCCTTATCCCGCCTCTTCAGTGGGCGGGCGGAAACCCAAGCTGCTTTCAATAGTTACCTTCCTACATCATGCTTCTACTCACTTCTTCCGAACGGTGAGTGCTGCTCCTCCTCCTTCCCCTCCTCTTCGTCCTCCTGTTCCTTGGGGTCCCTTTCGAGCTCCTCCTGCCCCATCCTCCCCTCCTGCGGCTCCGTCTGCTTTCCTCACCTCCCCCTTCTCCTCGTCTCCTTCTCCTCCTCATAAATATACAGAACCAGTGAGCGCGAGGCTCCCTCCCTCCAGCCCCAGCCTGAAAGAGTCGGGCCCGGGAAGCATTGTCATGAGTGAGAGAGCAGTGAGGTGCTGCAGTGGGGGACATTCGGTAATATAGTGAGTTATCTGATTGCTTGCCTCCCATTCCGACACCGTGCCCGGGTTGTGGATCTGAGGCCTCTTGGACGCTCGTTTGGATGGCAGTTTTGATGCTTCTGGGGGGCTGTTTGGGGGCCTCTTTTGGGCCTCTTGCGGGCCTCTTGGGGCCTCGTGTGGAGGCCTCTTGGGGCCTCTTGGGGGCCTCTTGGGACCTCCTGGGCGCCTGGGCGTCTCTTGGGACGGAAGGCTCGGATTTTCGTTGCGTGTTTCTCCTTTTGGGCCCCACTTAGGGCCGTCTTGGGAACCTTTTGGGGGCCTCTGTGGCCGTCTCGAGGCGGTCTTGGAGGCCTCTTGGGACGTCCTCTTGGCGCGTCGGAAGCTAGAAAAGTGGATAACCCCAATCACATTGTAAAGTCTATTGGGAAATCAATGGTTTTGGCATCTCGGGGCCCTCTTGGGACGGCTCTTGGGGCCCTTTTGGGGCGTTTCGAAGGCTTCTTGGGCCATCTTGAAGCCATCTTGGGCGTATTGGAAAGCTCTTGGGCCGTCTTGGAGGCCTCTTGGACCCTGCCGGGGGGCTTCTTTGGGCCCTCTTCGCCAGTTTCGGGGCCCTGTTGGGGTGAACGACCACCTTCGCAAACTCCCCCCACTGGTAACTGATCGCCCCCTCTGTGTTAGAGCACGCCCTTCCTCGAACGATTCCTTCCAGAGCAAGCTTGAGCTCCTTGGGCGCCATCTCTCGAGCGATCTGTTCGCGGTGCTCGTCCCAGCCCGCGTGGATCTGCGCGGTGCGCTGGCCGGGCATCTGCGTGGAGAACGACCTCCATCGTCCTGGTCCTGCGCGATGGGCTGCTTGTGCTTGCCTGACCCTGTTTTTTTATAGCAGGCGTGGCCCGTTGAACCTGAGCACGAACGACCTGGCCAGCTCGTCCCACTCCAGCTTGCACTGGACGCCGGTCTCGAAAACTGCCGCTTCCAGCCGCCGAGAGAGCGCGATCCAGGCCTGTGTGCGTGAGATATTTTCCTTCGCGTTTACGGTGAAAATAGCGCGGTCAAGGGCATGCCTCCATTCAGCGCTGTGTTGAACAGGGACCTGTGGCGTCGCCTTCGCCACATCTGGCTCCCGCTCGAGATGCTTGAGGCGTCGTTCCAGTGATTGCGTGGCCAAGGCGGGCCGTGCAGTCTGATCCTGCATATGCTGTATCTTGCAGTCCATCTCCCGGGACGACCTGCCGTTCTGCCGGTCGAAACGGGAGAATCAGGTCTGGGGGCCGCTTGGGTGGCCCCTGGGAGTTTCTTGTCCATCGTCTCACTCAGCTGGAGCCCATTTCTTTATTGCTTGGGGCATGACGGGCGTCATGGCCCCCGCTCCCCCCCCCTATGACGTAGCGCTCCCCCCCCCAGTGCGCTCCGGGCGCTGCCGCCGTGCGTTTTGGGATCCGCGTAGATGTCCGTGTAGGAATCCGCATAGGAGTCTGGTCCGTAGTCGTGGTCGTGGTCGTCGTCGTCGTCGTCGTCGTCGTCGTCGTCGTCCATTTTGGCTCAAGACGGCACCCTGTCAGGACGGGCACTCCTCGTGTCCAGGTCGAGCGCCCGCCAACCTGAGACGTTCTTTGCTCGGCCTGCCCCGAGCTTTCTCGCACCCCCGCACTCTCGCTTTGTCAGACGCGTGGAGCGCGCATTTTGCAGCAACCATGTTCGCGCCGATGCCTCCGCTCCCGCCCCCCGCCGCGGCCGCGGGTGTCGCGGGGCCCGACGCCGAGGGCCGACGGATCCGCCAGAAGACTGGCGAGCCCCCCGCCGCCGTGGAGCTAGACGACGAGGAGCTGACGGACGCCGAGGCGGCCCCTGTGGGTGGCCACGCCAAGCTGCCGCCACCCCCGCAGGATCCGTCGCAGATGGCATTGGCCCAGTATATCATCAGTGCGGTGACCACGAGCATGAGTGTGAAGGTGGACGCCGTCGAGGCCCAGGTCGCTGCCCTGCAGACCACGGTAAACTCCAGCTCGGCCTCCATCTCGTCCATCCAGGCTGAGCAGCGGGCCCAGCGCGCTAGGCTCGACGCCCTGGAGGCAGCCTCGCGCGCCCCGTCGTCAAACGCCAGTACAGCAGCTGGCCGCGGAGCTCCTCTGCGACCTGGACTGGGCTCGGGGCAGGCGTGCCAGGCGGACCCGTGGAGCGACTTCTTGCGCAGAGGCCCAGGTGACCAGAATCAGTTCGTCGCTCCCCAGGTTCAGCGCGGAGGAAGGAGTACGAAACATGTGGTTTTCGTGGCGGGATTTCCTGGCACGTGGGACAAGGACGAGGTCGAGACCCACCTTCGTGCGAAGTTGAGCGGGAGGGCCTCTCTCGAGTCGCAGGGCATCACAGAGATTTACGGTGCAGGGCGATTCTGTGATCAGGCGAAGGTGGTTTTCGGAAGCAATCGGCAGATGTGGAATTTCACGAAGGCCTGGAAGGGTCGCAAGATACCATGCCAGGGGGCCAAGAATGACCAGCTGTGGCACAAAGTTGACCAGGAGCCCCACGAGGTGGAGTTGTCGTGGCGAGTCTCCTACGCCGTGAGGCTTCTCAGAGAATAGGGTGAAGCCAAGAACCTCTGTACAGCAGACTCGAAGATGAAGACTTTCGACGGCGACTGGGACCGCGGCCAGGTGGTCTTTCGCCGTAATGGGAACGAGAGGCCGATCAGGATCCTGCAGCGCTTGCGCACCACGGATCTGATGGAGATCTGCACCGAGCCGCTGGCCAAGGCGCTGCTAGACCAGGAGCTCGCCGAGTTCAAGCTCTCCGAGCGGCTCGGGGAGATCAATGGCCTGCCCAGACCCCAGTGATTCAAGTCGAGGGGTTGCCGCTTTGCCAAGGACGTCAGGGACCTCGCAGTTCTGGGGTGGAATGTGAGAGGCGTCCGTGGCACCAGGAGGCGGCAACAACTCCTCGACGACCTGCATGGTGAATTTGATGCTCGTGTTATCCTTTTCCAAGAGTGGTGCGTGGCTGGTGGAGCCGTGCAGCCCTTCGATGGCTATGTCGTTCACGTGTCGCCTCCAGCGGGGGCCTGGCGAAGATGCGCGATAGCGGTCCATGAATCCCTGGTCCCTTCCATCGTGGGCCCGCCGTGCTTCCGCGCTCGCACCGTGTCCCTGGACTTGCAGCTACCTGTCTGGGGACACGTTCGTCTGATTACGAGCCACCAGTTTTCTCACATTGTTCGTTGTGAATACGCTGAGACCATCGCGCAGCTCAGGGAGTGTCTGATCACGATGCCTATTGATTGCCATGCCATAGTCAGCGTCGACGCTCAGGTCGGCCTGGGGATTGGGGACGGTGAGACGGTTGGCCAACACTCGGCCACCAAGATGATATGGCGGGGTGAGATGCTATTCGATTTGATGACTGAATTCGACCTTGTCGCCGCCAACACTTTCTCACGATGACAATGGAGACAAGCCGCATGCTACTGCGACAACCGAAAAGAGCCAGGACAGATCGACTTCATGTTGTGCCATCGCGACTGGCTCACTTCAGTGACGTGCCAGGCCCGCTTCACGGACGCAGAGCAGAGCGACCATCTTCCCATGCTGCTGCGCTGCCATGCGTCCAAGGCTATCCCGACGATCGCCGAGCACGAGCAAGCCATCGAGGACGCTGACCTGATGGAGAGACCGCCACGCAAGCCCGTCGCCTGGCAGCTGGAGGACGCCCATCTATTCAATGAGACGGTCTGCTCGACGCTGCAGGTGCCGTACTTCCCGACCGCGACGGACGGCCTCACCGAGGGCGACCTCGCGAACGCGCTGGGCATCTTCACGGACGGCTCGGCGCGGGGGCGAAGATATGGGAAGCGCCGGGCTTCTTGTGCAGGATGGGGCTTTGCCGTCTACCGCGCCACCTCGCCGCGCGACCAGGGCGAGCCAATGGTCGAGGCGTGTGGCCCTGTGGTCACCACTTCTCAGGACCCCCGCTACTTGGGCGCGTGCTCCCTCGCAGCGAACACGGGAGAGCTCTCGGCGATCGTGGGGGCGCTCCTATGGCTGCTGGGACAGCGGGGTTCCTCGGAGCCAACGGCCCAGGACGGTGGGCTCATCCAGGTGGTTACCGGCTCGACGTACGTACAGGGGTTCATCGCCGAAGTATTCCAACCGCGTGAGAACGCTCCTCTGGCGATCCTGGCCGTGCACTTGTGGAAGAGGGCTGCCGCATATTTTGACTTGCACATATGCTGGGTCAAGGGGCGCAGCGGCAACATTGGCAATGAGAAGGCGGACTTTTGGGCGAAGCGAGGTGCTGACAGGCGCTTTCACACAGCCCATTGGAGGCGGCCATGCCCTGCTCGCGATTGGGGGGGCGGAAGAGTACCGCAAACGAGTTAGCGATCGCAAGATCGCCGAGACCAGGGCCCACAAACGACGTTGCTCGGATATATCCAGGGAGGATGGCGGCGACGCCTTCGCACAGTTCTTCAACCCGCAGCCAGGGCTGGCCGCGTGCTCCAGACAGGGCGCCCCCTCCATCTCCGCGCTGACGGCGGCGATCTCCGCTGGCGCAGCTGTGGCCGGCCGCGCCCCTTGTCGGGGGCGCTGGAGACCCCCGCAGGGCGACCCCGAGCTCCTCCACCTGAAGCGCCTGGAGCAGCTGCGCGCACAGGAGTCGGACCTCCGCGTGCGGCACTTGCTGGGGCTCACGGGGGCCAAGGCCAAGCGCGCCCTGAGGGGCCGCTGCAACGCCGTCCACCTGGAGCGACTGTGCGCGAGGGGGCGGGCCGACATACCCTACCGCTCGGGCAAGCCCGTGTGCGAGCTGGAGACGGACGACGGCTTGAGCGCCAGTGCCGTGCAGGCCCGCTGCGAGCTGACCCGCGCCTTCTACGCCAACCTGTTCGCCGACCCGACCAGCGACCAGGCCCTGCCCGCCTGGGTGCGTAGCCAGTGGACCGCCGAGCACCAGCAGGCTGAGGCCCCTCTCTCCCTTCCTCTTCTCAAAACAGTCTTGGGGCAAATGAAGAGTAGCAAATCGCGTGCCGAGTCTGACATGATCGTGGCTGAGATGATCCAGGGACTCCATGACGACGCCCTCGAACAGATCCTCGCGGCCTTTCGCCTGAGACTCTGCAACCGCGTGAGTGAGTATTTCGACCAGGCCTGGACTGGGCACGTCGCTCAGCTGATCCGCAAGGAACCCGAGGCCCAGAAGGTGGCCGAGTTCAGACCCATTGCCCTGGTCTCGGTGTCGCTGAAAATCCTGTCGACGATGGCCTTGGAGGTCCAGCGCCCTATCCTGGAGACCGATCGTTCTGAGTGCCAGTCTGCGTTTCGCCGTAGCTATCAGGCGCGCGAGAATATATACATATATATATATATATATATATATATATATATATATAACCTTCGTCATCTAGTTGAACAGTTTTGCGAATATCGCGACCCCCCACTCGTGGTCGCGGGAGGCGACGCCCGTAAGTTTTATGATTATATCCGACCACCCCTCCTGGCACGGCGCTTGGATGAGCGCGGAGTGTCCCGCATCGCTAGCAGCTTCTGGATTAGAGAGACCCGCAACTCTGCCGCTCGTACCAGATTGCCTGGCAACCCTCTCGCCAAAAGCGTCCGTCGGGAGAGGGGCCTGATCCAGGGGGGCCCAGCGGCGCCCGAATTGAGCAACGTTTTCCTGGATGCGGACCTCCGCAGATTCCAGCACCTCTGCCGTGAAAACGGGTGGGGGCTCTGTCTCACGATGCCAGGGGGGGAAGATTTAAACCTAGGGATTGTGAGTTTTGCCGACAGCTTTTGGATTTTAGCTCGTTCGGCCTCGATGGCCGCAGTCATGACCGAGAACTGTCTTCGCATTTTGAACAAAAGCGGCCTGGAGGTCCCTATCAATGAGATGGAGTGGTGCCACACGTACCCCTCGTATATCGGCACGCTTCGCGTGAATGGCACCTTGATCCCCTGCCGCGAAAGGGCGGAAGGTCTCACGGTTTTAGGAACGTACATAGCCTTCGATCGCAGTTGCACGGCGGAGGTGGGACATCGGATCCAACGTGCGTGGCGCACGTGGGCTGTGCACAAGAATATGCTGGTCAATCCCAAAATTAGCTTCAGCAAGCGACTCAAAGCCCTGGACCGCTGTGTTCGCCCTGCCTTCACTTACTGTATCGGTAGCCTGCATTTGACGGTATCAGGGTTTAGCCGCCTCTCCAAATGTCATAATACTATGCTGAGACGTATAGTCCGCCCGCCTCCAGCCGACACTGCAGAAGAATATATGAAGAATGCCATGCCACTAGTTGCCGCCACCTGCACTAGGTACGATATCGAGCCGTGGCCACAAACCTGCAGACGCCTGTCCCACGCTTGGGCAGGACATCTCCAGGGAATGGCCCTGTCCAGCCCCGATCGCATAGCCTATCGCGTTCTTAGGTATCGGGACAGATCCTGGATGACGTCCATGCAACGTTTCTCGGGCTCCCAGCTGCATCATCGTACGGTAGGAATATGGCGCTGGGAGAGAGATTTCTATCACTATTTTGGTTTTGCTTGGCTCGCCAAACCATACTCTAGCACTCATGGGCCGATGGGCAGCGCGCTTGGCTTGAATGGCGCCAAACTTTGAGATAAACCCAGACTGCCCCTAGTATGTAGTTCCGCTCAGCAGCGTCGGGGCCAGGAGCCGCCTTTTGCAAAACGCTTACGAAACGAAACGAAACTAAACGAAACGTCGTCGTCGTCGCCGTCGTCGTCGTCGTCGTCGTCGCTCGTGGCTTGTCGCTCGTCGCTCATAGTCGTCGTGCGCGCAGACGCGGCTGAAACATGTTTTAATTCCGGGCCGAAGAGGGTCGATGTCGTCACGTTTCGCGCCGGCGGCGTCTGGGAATGCCTCTGAATGACGGAGGACGGGTAGCGCCAGCATGTAGGTGGCGATTTGCACCACAACGCCTGCGTACACCACAGTGCCTGCGTGCACCACAGCGCCGGTGCACACCCCACCGCCTATGTACACCAGAGCAGCCGCGTGCAACACAGCGTCAGTTTGTGCCACCGTGCCTGCGGGCACAACAGCTTTTGTGCACACCGCAGCGCTTGCGTACACTACATCAGCCGTGTGCAAGACAGCACCAGTGCACACCACAATGCCTGCGTGCATTGCAGTGCCTGTGTGCACCACGGGGCCAGTGTGCACCACAGCAGCCGTGTGCAACACAGCACCACTGCTGTATATAGAATATCGAATCCTTATGACAAAATGGAGCGCGTGTGGATTCCACAGAAAGGAACAAACATGATCTTGATGGACAACGGAGCGCCGCTGGGATCTAAGAGTCCTCCCGAATCCTCCCGCATCACCCTAACTCTTCCCATTTGCGTCCAGGAGGCTCCAGCTACAGTGGCCGTCCGAGAACCAAGTGGACCGATTCAATCGAGCATTCTGCGGTGCGCGCTGAGATGCGCACGTGCGCTGTAGCGCCAACCCGCACGACAGGGGGTAAGGATGATGATGATGATGATGATGATGATGATGATGATGATGATGATGATGATGATGATGATGATGATGATGATGATGATGATGATGATGATGATGATGATGATGATGATGATGATGATGATGATGATGATGATGATGATGATGATGATGATGATGATGATGATGATGATGATGATGATGATGATGATGATGATGATGATGATGATGATGATGATGATGATGATGATGATGATGATGATGATGATGATGATGGATGATGATATGATGATGATGATGATGATGATGATGGTGGTGGTGGGTTGGTGGTGGTGGTGGTGGTGGTGATGTGATGATGATGATGAGGATGATGATTATGATGATGATGAGATGATGATGATGATGAGGATGATGAGGATGATGATGATGCTGATGATGATGATGATGATGGATGATGATGATGAGATGATGATGATGATGATGATGATGATGATGATGATGATGATGATGATGATGATGATGATGATGATGATGATGATGATGATGATGATGATGATGATGATGATGAGGAGGAGGAGGAGGAGGAGGAGGAGGAGGAGGAGGTGGAAGGGGGAGGAGGAGGAGGAGGAGAAGAGGAGGAGGGAGGAGAGGAGGAGGAGGAGGAGGAGGAGGAAAACGAGGAGGAGACGAGGAGGAGGAGGAGGAGGAGGAGGAGGAGGAGGAGGAGGAGGAGGAGGAGGAGGAGGGGGAGGAAAAGGAGGAGGAGGAGGAGGAGGAGGAGGAAGAGGAGGAGGAAGAGGAGGTGGTGGAGGTGGAGGAGGGAGGGGGGAATAATGTCGCATTCGATTATCAGCAGTTTCCAGGCGTGGCGTCTAGTTGTCCGCAGCAGATTCTCACGTACATGCTTTGTCCTATGCACGCAGGCATTATGGTGTACACCACCGCTGCGTTGCACGCGGATGCTGTGGTGTAGACGCGCGCTGTGGCGTGCACAGGCGCTGCGGTGCACGTAATCATTGTGGTGTACACAAGTGATGCGTTGCACATGGTAGCTGCGGTGTGCACATGTACGCCGGCGCTGTAGTGTACGCAAGCACTGTGGTCTACACAGGCGCTGCGTTGCACACTGTTGTTGCGGTGTACGCAGGCGCTGTGGTACACACGCGCGCTGTGGTGCACGCGAGCGTCGTGGTGTACACAGGCGCAGTGGGGCATATCGCCACCTACATGCTGCTCGCTTCGTCGTCGTCGTCGTCGTCGTCGTCGTCGTCGTCGTCGTCGTCGTCGAGGTCGTCGTTGTCCTCGTCGCTCGTCGCTCGTCGCTCGTCGCGCGCGGGCGCGGCTGCGGTGCCGGAACCACACGGCGGGGAGGGGGCGTTACGTCATACCCCCCTTTTCGCCCCCCCCCCCCCCCTGGCGCCTGTCATCGCCGAACATAAAGAAACGCTCCTGTACCATCGTCGTCTTCTGAATCTCGAGCGCGATCTCCGAGTGCTGTGCCCGTTGGTCAGGGGCGCTCTTCCAGCCGCCCCCGTTGCTTTGGGTCTTCCGGCGTCCTGCCAGATGACAACGATGCGGACCTCCGCGTGCATGTGGCCCAGCTTCTCCCCAGCGCCAGGTGGAAGCGGCCGGCGACGTGGAAACTGCTGTGCTCCCGCGGGCGGATGTGCAAGGCCTTCAAGTGGATGCTCATCATGCGCTCCTGCGTCTCAAGCAGCAGGGGCCTCCTGCGGCGGGGAGGTGGCGAACGCTTCGAGTTGAGCACGTCGGTCATCAGCGGCGTGTCCAAAAGGCTCCAGCAGCGGCAGCAGGCAAGCGAGCGGGAGACCAGCCTCGACTGCTTTGAGATCGTAGGTTGCAGCCTGGTGTTCCTTGCTCCTCCCGCTCCCGCCGACGATCTCTGTCCCTGTCTCGCCCTTTGTCGCGGTCGCGACCCCTGTCGTATCATGCCGTCGCGGCGTATCTGGCGGCGTCGAGATTCTGGGCGCCTCGCCATTGCCCTTTTTCCTGTGGCGCTTAGGACGGCCAGGAAGCGTGGCCATCGCGAGCGCCCCTCTTGTCTTTCTCATCCTTGCCCGCCGCGCTTCTGCTATCGGCGCGCGTGGCAGCATGGGCAGTAGATGCATCGGGTTGCCCGCCGCCCAGTGCGCCAGAGAAGCGTTGTCCCGTCAGGAGCGCGCAGAGAGATTGGACCTGGCCGCGGAACAGCGGTGTCCACTTCGTTTCCAAGGAAACAAACATCTTGAGCCCAAATGGCCACGGTTCACCGTCCAGCGTTCTCGCGCCCTCGTGGGGGCATCGCGGATTGCGACCCAGGCTGCCGACGAGAGGTCAGCAGCTGGCGCGCCTCAGGCCTGCGCGTCTCCGCGCAGTCGTCGACGCAGGCGCGACGCGAGGGGAGGGGGCCTCCCCCTCTCCATCCTCGCATGTTTCCTTCTTCCTTCTCTCCCTCGTCCTGCTCCGCGCGTTTTCTTTGCTGCTTCTCCTCCGCCTCCTCCTCGTCCCCCTCCGCCTCCTCCTTCTCCTCTTCTGGCTCAAGCCATTTTGTCCCCGGCCAAAGTCAAAACAATTCCATGTTTCGCCCTTCAGCCTGTCGCCGAAAGGGGCTTTGCAGGCGGCCCGTTCTTTCGGCGCCTGCAACGCCCTGCAGGTGGCCCAACCCGACCAGTGAAGAAGTCTGCCGCGATCGTTTCGACCAGCGGACCTCCGCCATGGCGGCGTGCGCGGGGCGCCCCGCGGCTGGCGGTGATGCTGACGCTCCTGGCGAGCGCAGCCATGGCCGTGGCCGCCGTCGCGGGCTGGGCGCGCTGCGAGGAGACGCCATGGGAGATCGGCCCGCCGAACTGCCGTCTGATGCTGCTGACGCGGCTTGGGCGGACTGGAGCCCCCAAGCGCTCCCGGCGAAAGAGCGGGGCGGGGGCGCGCTGGCCCGGCGTGACCCTTGGGCGGGTGGTCCGCAGGAAGCTGCGCCAAGCCCCTTCGGCGGCATAGGGCCAGAAACAGAAGGAGTACGAGCGGCAGGAAGTGCCGGTGGAGGTGCGCCAAAAAGCGGGCGCAATGAGTCAATGGACCAACGTCTCAGCCGCGTCATCAGTGCCGAGTTCGCGAGCATACAGACCAACGTGCAGGAGCATATCCACGCGTCACTATCTGCGGCCGGGGCAGTGGTGCAGCAGGACATCCCCTAGGCGTTGAAGCTCCAGCTGGCGCCGACAATGGCCCGGGTCACGGCGGTGGAGACCGAAGCCGGGCATTGCCAAGACCGCGCCGCCGCTTTAGAAACAGAAGACGTCCAGCGTCAGCAGCGGGTTCGGCAGATGCAGCAATCGTCGTCGCTGGCTGAGGCGTCGAGCAGCAGCGAAGCCATCGACGTTGCGAGGTTTGCCACCTGGGACCGGCCCACAAATCCACAGCTCTTCAGCCTCAGCGCAGGGGCCGAGTGCAACGAGCAGGTCGTCATGGAAGGCATTGCAGACTGGCTCGACTTCGCCAGCGTCAAACAGGAACTCGTCCAGCCAGCTCATCGGCCTGGATGCCCCAGGTAAAAGGTTTGCTTTGAAGTGTCGTGGCGCTGAGACTGGAGTTCTACGCGCGCAGGCCCTCGCCCGAGCGCTCGAGGTTCACGGTCGAGGCTGGTCGAGTTCGCAGATTTTCTGCATCTGGCGTGGGCGGGCTTGAGGCCGACATTTGCATCGGCCCTGGCCGCAACCCAGAACTGATTTGCAAGGGGTCCAGATCAATGTGCTTTCCCGAATCCTTCGGCGCCGCGCGCCGAACGGAGAGTGGCGGTGCAAGCGACAGGTGGGCTTCGTATATTGTGCTGATGTTTCCATCGTTGAGGTTATCCCTGGGCCGCCCCAGGCGCCCCTGCCAAGCTAGCATTGGGCGGGCTACCGCGCTCTACTGCATCAACGAGGAAGAGGCGAACGCAGCGTTCCACCGGCTGTTCCGCGAGGTGGGTGCCTCAAACTGGTCGTGTTCCTGATTGGCGTTGGCGACTGTTGGATCTGGGCCCTTGGGGGCAGCGGATCCACGTTGTCCTTTGGAGCGCTGCGGTCCTCCTCTGCCGCGACCCTGCCCGGCGAACCGACGCGTGGTCAACAATTTGGTGCGCATGATGCGGATGCGCGCCGTCGCATGCACCCAGGGGCGCCGTGGCGCCCGCGATGCGCTGCGTAACTGCATCAACCACTGCACCATCGAGTGCGGCGTCTTCAATGCCATGGGCCTTCGCCCAGGGATTGGAGGCGCGGTCGTCTCCGTCCTTGGCTGCGGCCAGCAGCAGCTCGCCGAGCATCCGCCTGGTGGCCGCCTGGCCTTCAATTGCGAGATGTCGGTGGAAGGGCGGGCCCAATGCCTCCAGGTGGTAAGTGGGGAGTGGCATTCGATGGCGAGGATCCTGGGCGTTTATAATCCCGAGCTGAGCCGCGACGACAGGGGCGCGATCTTGCGCTGCTGGCTGGCGAACGCGGAGCGGGCGCAGCCGGGCGAGCTGGGGCGCCTCGCCGCGGCGATCGGGGGTCGGAGGCCTGCCAGGCCCGCCATTTGCGCGCGAGTTGTGTCCGCGCGGCGAAGCCTTCTGGAAAGCTTTGTTCCCGGCCGGATGGCGAAGATCACGGCCGACCTCCCCGCCCATTTCTCTCGCCCCGCCTTCGCGGCAACGACGATCGACCGCGCTCTCGCCCCCCTCGGCCCCCACTTCCTCCGCGAGACCGAAGCTCCCCTCGAAATCCTGCAGGGGGCCTCAGCTCTGGCAGATCGAAGCGTTGAAGATGAGTGACCGTGCAATGGTTGCTCTTACTTTGAGGCCCAGGTCCGATAGGAAGCGGGTTCATCGGTCTTTCCCGGCTTCAATTTTCTAGCGTCCTCGATGCAAAGTTGTGTTCGGAAGCTGTATTGCTGGCTGCGATCTTGATTCCATGCCCCCTCCTGATGCCTGGCCCACTCTGAACGAGAACGCGATCGTGGCCGCGATTGTCGTTCGCCGGGGCGCGCAGAGTCTGCCTGATTACGATGGCCCCGAAAGTCCGTCAAGTGCGCGGCTCGCGACACTTGCCTGGCTCGCGACATTTTGGGCCATCGCCCGTGTCATCTGGAGACGAGACTTCCATTCGGCAGCGCGAATTCAGGCGCACTCAGCCCACAGCTCCCGCGTCATTTTAATCGCAGGTGCCCGAGTCCAGCTTCAGAATGAAGACGGATTTCGGTCCGAGGCAATTGTCCAGCATCCCCTCGGGCATTCTCAATGGCAAGTGGTTGCCGCTGCGCGCGCGTCATTAGTTTGGCCAGATTCTGCAATGGCGCAAGGTCCACGAGACTTCTCTACTAGGCGAGCGATGCTCTGGAAGTCGCAGCAAAGTCGTTCGCTTTCGAGAGCGGGCGCGGGCGGCTCGCGGCGGCCGCCAGAGCGGCGTCGCCCGGCATGTCTCCTCGGAAGCTCTGAGCGGGCATGAGCGTTCGCTCAATGTTGGCCCGTCTTCCTCTTCCACTTGCTCTTCCTCCTCCCCCTCCTCCTCCTCCTCCTCCTCCTCCTCCTCCCCCGTCTCAGAGGAGCTTTTGTGGGTCGAATTTCGTGGCAATTTCGTTGCGCGTTTCCTCGGGCAAGGGCCGGCGGGCGCGGTGCGCGGCGACCCGGTGCCCCGAGAGGGCTGCCCATCGAACCCGTCGCGCGGTGGCCGCCGTGGCGACGTCTCGCGAGATCGCGCGCCCATGACTCGCGCTTTGAAGCAGTTCTGGCAGCCTGTTTTCGTTGGGCGGCCCCGCCCTGGGGCCGAAATCGTAGATTTTTTTGGGCTGCCATGGCCGACGCACCCAGTTTTGACTTCCGCGCCCCCCCCTGGGAACGAGCTGGCGCAATGCCTGCGCCGAGCGCGGGATTCGGCTCCCGAATCAGATCGTCTCGCGCGCGCTGCGCGGGCGAGCCGCCGCAAATGTCTTTCTGTCCTCTATCGCCTTCCCCTCTTCCCCGCGGGCGGGCAGCCCCGCTCCAGCTGCCCTGAACCGCGGCTTGTTCGAGGGGCCTTGGAACGTTGTAGGCTGCGTGCGAGAGCCGGGGGTTCTCCGACCCCTGGCGCTGCAGAGCTCGGACAGCAACTCTCCGCGCCCGTTGTTGACCAGCAGTTGCAACGCTGCGAGGCTGGGCTTGCAGCGTCGTCGACGTGGGTCCGGCTGCTAGGCGAGCGAGCGTCGTGGATGCTGAAGCGGACCCCTTTTTGCGGAACTTGGACGCGCGCGCTGCCTTTCCCAGCGCGAGCCAGACCTGGTTGAGAATCGCGTTGGAAAGGTCCCGCTTTCCGCAGTGTATCCCGTGAGTCCTGTTTGCTTTAGATTCCGACGCCGTTGCGCGCGTGCTAGCGGGTTCAGAGGTAGTTCCTGCGTTCGCAATGGCCGCCGGCGTTCCCTGGGGCTGTCCCTTTCGGGTCTCTCTGGGCTCTTGGGTTTTGCCCCGTCCTCTGCCGCCCCGTTGCCCCTGTCCCCAGCAGAGGCGCGGCCGCTCTGGGCACCTGCGCGGATGATATAGGAGTCGTCTTGAATCAGATTCGCTTCTTGCCCGTCCTGCGAGCCTCTTTAGTGCTTGCCGAGCGTTTGTAGCCCGCCGAGTGCGTGGCAGTTCCGTTGGCAGTCGCATGCGCGATGGTGGAGCGTGCCCGGATCTCCCTGCTCGTTGCTCAGGTTGCCCCCGCGTGGGCTTCATTTCGCGCGCGCTCGAAGGCCGAGTCTTTCGGGGTGCTAATCGGCCCGGGGTCCGGCCCGCGCGAAATCGGCAGCGGAGCCGGAGAGAAATGGCGGCCCAGGACTCGCGCGATTGCCCGCGCCCGCGCTCCCAGTGATGCAGCCGCGCGACCGTGCGACACCGCGTGCTCGTCAGTTCTTGGGTCCTTGCCCAGTCTTTCCCGCTGCGCAAAGAAATCGCGCGCGAGGAGTTTTTCGCCCTCCGCGAACTCCTTCGCCTCCCCCCCAACGCGTTTTCCCTGCGCGACTTACTCGGGGCGCGCGATTGGCTGCGATCGGCGTCGCCCGCGAGTGGCCAAGTGTGCTCTGCCGGTTGTGCCTGGCGCGCGTCGACGCGCATTTTGAAACGGCGGGGGTGGGATTTTGAGTGGTGATCGGGCTGGGCGTGTTCGCGGCCTGCATCTGCGCGCGCGGGGGCCTCCTCTCTGCGCCGTGTTTGCTGCGGGGGCGCGGTGTGCTGCAGTGCTGTCGGCAATTCGCCCGAGGGTGCCGCGGCCTCCCGCTTCCAGCGGCCCGCGTTCAGGCAGCCGTCGGCGTTGCTGCTGCTGACTCGGCAGGTCGGCGGCCTGTCGGCGGCGCCGGCAGGGGGCGCGGGCGGAGGGGCGGTCATCTGCGTCGTGAAAACGGGGAACAGGGGCCTCAAGGCGTTCCCATCGCCCAGCTAATGCGTCGGAGTTCCCAGATGGACTGCGCGAGATGATGCGTCGGGGTCTTCAGACGCTGTTCTCTCCCGAACCGTTGTCTCTCGCAGTTGCGCGGGCGACGTGGCGCGGACCGCGTCGTATTCTGGCGCGCTCTGAGCCGTGCAAAGCGTGGTCCCACCTTAATATCCTCGCGGGAGGGTGGGTCGCCAGCTGCCCGGCAGGTTTGGCTCCCCCGGCTTTCCCGACTCGTTCCTCCGCTGCCCCTCCTGCCCCCGCCAGCTTCGCATGCCTGTCTTGCCTCGCTTGCAGGTTCCCGCCGCCCCTCCCCGCGGCTCGGCCTCGGGGCGGTGGGGGGGGGGGGGGGGGGCATGTGCAGGGGCCGATCTCGCGATCGAGAGTGCCCGCCAGCTTGTCAGTTTAGCGCATTCTTCTGTTTCATGAGGTCCGCGCCGAGCTTGCGGTGACCACTTCCGAGGCTCGACAATTATGTTCGCCGCGTGTCAATGCGGCGTGCGGCTTCTGTTCGGCAGTGAGATGACGGTGCCCCCATTGGACGTGCGCTCCCCCCCCCCTCCTCCATCGTCCTTTTCCTTGTGAACAACTCCTCCCTGTCGCATTCCACGGCCAGTCGAGGGTGGGCCGGGCGTTTCGCTTGAGACTTCCATGCCGCGCATGAGCCTCGAACTGAAGAGGTGGGAACCGTTTCGCAGATGGAGGGCGCGTCGCTTCATGCATGCGGCTCTCGCCTTAGCGCCGCGCACGCGTGTGAAACATGTGCAAGAGCTTCGCGGGCTGAGGGCGGCCCGTTTTCAAATTTGGATTTTCGCCTAGAGCTGCGCGCGCGTGCTTTTTTTTTTTTTTGCATGAGCTCGCGGATTGAAGGCGGGCCGTTTTCAATGTGTGGTTCTGGCTTTGGCGCCGCGCCTTTTCGGTTAGCACGTCGCGGCAATTTCGCTGTTTGAAGGGCGTTCGTTGTCTAAATGGTTCTCGCTTCAGCGCCGCGCGCGCGCAGCGCGCGCGACGCGCGGCGCACGACGCGCGCAAGCGCGCGAAACGCACAAACACGCAAACACACAACGCACAAAACACATTCAAAGTGTGGCAAACACACAAACACACAATCACACAAACACACAATCACACAAACACACAAACACACAAACACACACAAATACACACAAACACACAACACGCAAACACACAAACACATGCACGCACAATCACACACCAACACACAACGCACAAACACGCGCAACACACGCAAACACATAAACGCACGAACACGCGAGTTCACGAACGCACGCGCGCACGCGCACACGCGCGCGCGCACGCACGCACGCGCGCACGCGCGCGCGCACGCACACGCGCACGCACGCGCGCACGCACACACGCACGCACGCACGCACGCGCACACGCACACACGCACGCACGCGCACACGCGTACGCGCACACACGCACGCACGCACACACGCACACACGCACACACGCACACACGCACACACGCACACACGCACACACTCACACACGCACGCACGCACACGCGCAAACGCGCACACACGCACACGCACACACGCACTCGCTCACACACGCACACACGCGCACACGCACACACGCACACACGCACACCCACACGCACACACGCGCACACGCGCACACGCACACACGCGCACACGCACACACGCACACACGCAGACACGCACACACGCACACACGCACACACGCACACGCGCACACACGCACACACGCACACACGCACACGCGCACACACGCACACACGCACACACGCGCACACGCACACGCGCGCACGCGCGCGCACACGCGCGCGCACACGCGCGCGCACGCGCACGCGCACACGGACGCGCACACGCACGCGCACACGCACGCGCACGCGCGCACGCACACGCACGCGCGCGCACGCACGCACACGCACGCACGCACACACACACACACATTCACACACATTCACACACACACACGCACGCACGCACGCACGCACGCACGCACGCACGCACGCACGCACGCACGCACGCACGCACGCACGCAAGCACGCACGCACGCACACACACATACATACACACACACGCACACACACGCACACACAAACACACACACACACACACACGCTCATTCGCGC